TCACGCCGCAATCCCTTCTCCTCCATTCTCCTCTCGGGATCTTGGGCACGCACGCACACGAACCCAGCGTGAGTTTTAAGCCACCGGGTCCGGGATGTGAACCGTGGTCGACTATGTGGGAGTCCAGCAACATAGCCATTACGCTAACTGCTGGTTCCCGACTTTTAATACTTTTGAGAGAGTTTTTGATTTCCTGTATTACAGACTTCATCCCTAATAGTTCCATCTGATTCTTTCTTAGCATGTCCATTTCTTCTTTCATACCATGGAAGGACTTTCTAATTTCCTATAGTTCGTTGTCTTTTTTCTGTTCCAACTCATAGAATTTGGTCACCATGAATGTTCTAAATTCTTTCTCTGACATTTTGGTAATGTCCTCTGTTTTTTTCAAGAAATGGAAGGGAGTCACTGTGTTCTTTAGATGGAGACATATTTCCTGGTTTATTCAGATCTGAGACTCTTCTACTTCTAGCTATTGGGAGATGTATTCACTGTGGAATACCTTTTAGGAGAATGTTTCTTCCACTAGGAGCAAGTGTGTTTCCCTTTTGCTGTGGACTGAAGTCTCTCTTCTGTTGTGTTTAGCAAAGTGGTCCAAGGAGGAGTATTCTATTCAAGTGTCTGATGAACAGTACCTCCTTTTTCACAGGTGGTTCAGTAAAAGGGAGGACCCAGGGAGTCTTACAATACTAGAATATTTCAGAACTGTGATTCTAGACCTATCTAGACCATCTGGGAGGACGGAGGAAGAGGAAGAGAGGACCAAATAAGAAGGAGAATAAAGAAAAAGTCGTGCACAATTTTGCCAGGGGTCTGGAGATGGAAGTGGGGTCCGCTGTAGAGCTGGGGGCGGTCCTGTGTGATAAGGAACAGTGCAAAATTTACAAATGAAAGAAGAGGAGAAGGGGGAAAAGAAGCCTACGTGGCTGACAGAAATAGAGATCTCTGGGCTTGGGAGTGCCAGGGCTGGAGCTGGGGCAGGGGACCCTGCCTCAGTGTCCCCTAGGCCAGGGGTCTGGAGATGGAAGTGGGGTCTGCTGTAGAGCTGAGGGTGGTCCTGGCTGACAGAGATAGAAGTCTCTGGACTTGGGAGTGCTGGGGCTGGAGCTGTGGCAGGGGGCCCTGCCTCAGTGTCCCTTAGGCTAGGGGTCTAGAGATGGAAGTGGGCTGGAAATATGTTTTATAAACTATAAAATAACATATGAATTCTTGGTATTCTTTTTGTAAGCTCCTAAGTCACTGATGTTTGTTTTTTGTTTGTTTGTTTGTTTGTTTTTTAAATTGGAGAGATTTTTGTTATGGGGTATGTGTGCTCACCAGAGAGAGACAGAGAGACAGAAAATGAGAAATCACCCCCTAGTGGGTTTAGCCACACAGCAAACCCTTCTCCTCCATTTTCCTCTCAGGATTTTGGGCATGTATGCACATGTGCCTAGCGTGAATTTCAAGCTGCCAGGCTGGGACTTGAACTGGGGTCAGCCATGTAGGAGTCCAGAAATATAACCATTATACTATCTGCTGGTCCCACAGTGGCTTAATGTACCACAGTGACTTTGTGGGAGTTTGGAACAGATTTTAAATACCTTTATCTAAAGAAATTCAAATCCATCTATAGAATTGAATCCCTAAAAGGGAAAAATGACTGTCAGAGACCTAAACTGTATGTGTCTAGAGAGTGGTTGTTACTTAACTATATTAGAAAAACCTTGAGTTTTCTGAGTTACCTCAATTAATCAGACTTGTTTTCCTTAAAAATAATTCCCGAGCCATCTCTATGGCCTAATATCTGAGGAAGCTGAAACTCACATGGCCAACCACAGGGTTGGAGTCCTGGCTCTGACAGCTTGAAAAACATGCTGGGTATGTATGCTTACATGCCCCAAATCCTGACAGAATGGAGAAATGAAGAAGGAACTGCAGCATGATCATGTCTCATGGTGGTGGTGGGGGGGTCTCCCCTTCTCTGTCTCTCTTTGCAAGGGTACATACCCTGTGGTAAATTTTTTAAAAGTAATTCCCAGGAAAATGCTTGGTTTTTCATCAGAGATTACACTGTTGATGAAACTGTTGATACTTTTTTCAAAGTGTCTATTAACTTATGGTAAGTTAAAATGGGAGTGCATGTGCCCCCCCACACACACACACACGAGTGTATTATTATATATGGCTGTATTGTTTAAATAACTAACAAATTGTTCTACCCAACCTAAAACATATCCTGCACATAATACCTACTATTGCACACAAAGTTATTTTGCCAGGGAAGTTTGTGCAGGCAGGGTTTGTTCAGGAGACCTGTGCAAATCATAAGGGAGTGACTAAAAGCAAACTGCTATTCAACATTATCTGGTACACAGTAAGAATTAAGTAAGTGCTATTGCTATTTTTATATTTCATATTGCATTATCAATTAATCCTTTAGTTATTTATACATAATAGGAGTCAAAAGTTAAATGAGTTCAGTATGGATACTTAAAAATATGCTTCCTTTACTTTTTAAAATATTTCTATAAAGAATCAGAAACAAAATAGTATTTAATGAAAAATGCCCTGCTTTGGATATTTTACCAGGAGGAAATGATATTAGGGTAAGATATTCTGAGATACATGTTAATTTGCATTCATAATTATATTTGAAAATTATTTAGTGCTGATTTTCTATAACACTCGTCATCTTTCATCCTTTTATTCATTAGCAATTTGATCATCTTCTTAATAATAAATCACTCTTAAATTTTTTTTAAAAAAAAGGTAGACTGCTACTGCTTTGCTCCTTCTAAGAAAATAACACTGTCTTCTTATCAGCTTCAACACAGGAGACCTCAAATCCTCACCTGAATGCATGGCTCTTCAACCTCAGGACTTGCAGAATTCATGGAATGCCATCCTAAGGTTGTTGAGTAGTGCATTTCTGGGTATTTCATCTCTATGAGGAAGTACCTATTGCCTCACCCCAAAGACTGAGGCTGAAAGATTTTTCTTCCAAGAGAAGAATCTTTTTTGTAATTTTTGTGGCCTCAGTAGTCAGAAAACAGCCTGAGGAAAGATTAAAAATACAAAAACTGATAAGTTTTGGCGGGGTTGTGATGAAAGGGGAACTCTCATACACCGTTGGTGGGAATGTAAATTGGTCCAGCCACTGTGGAAAACAATACAGAGGTTCTTCAAATACCTACAAATAGAACTACCATAGGATCCAGTAATTCCACTCCTGGGTATCTACCCAAAGGACAGGAGGATGTTCAGTTGGAAAAGTGCACGCACATCAGTGTTTATTGTGGCTAAGACATAGAAATAACCCAAATGTACAAGAAAAGATAAATGGATTGAAAAAGTGTGGCACATATACTCTATGGAATACTATTCAACCTTAAAAAATAAAACCCTGGCATTTGATGGAAAGTGGTCAGATATGGGAGATTTATTGCTGAGTGAAGCAAGCCAGGCTATGAAAGATATTATATGTCTCCACTTAATATATACTGACTGGTCACACTCTATGGTAGAGACTGAAAGATTGAAGAACATAAAAGCATTGAAAATAATTATGGACACTTGAGACAGTGTGGAAAAAGAGTGGAAGAGGGGAAGAGTATAGGGAAGGAAATTAGGGGGGGAAATAGAGAGGCAAGACATTTGTGGGACACAGCAATGGTTTATTACCTGTTGATGATAACATATAGAGTATTCTCAACTGGACTGGTCTGAGGTATATTTCATATTGGATAAATTCTCTTTGCAAGCCAAATGATGTATAGCATTTGAATGTATATAAATAAAACAATAAATAATAATTAAAAAGAAAGGGTTAAATGGCCAAAAAGAGAAATCAGCCTGAGGAGGTTGGGGTCCTAGTGACTGTCTTGGAGAATAAACATTTTCTGTTACTTTCCAGTGAGTTAATGTTCCATTTTCTTTTTCTAATAGGTCCAGTTAAAAACAAGAAAAAGGGTAAGTCAAACTCCTGATTTCATAAAATTGCTCTCATGCCACGTCTTTCCTAAAATTTCCTAAAATTAGAAGAAAATAATCAAGGAAGTAAGTTTTTATTATTATATTCTTTGAACATTTGTCATCATTATTTTATTCAAATTTAATCACATGAATCTTCTTGAGTATTGAATTTTTTTAAGAGGTTTTTCTACATGGGAGTCGAGTGATATAGCCATTACGCTAACTGCTGGTCCCTTGAGTATTGTAGTTTTTTTTTTTTTAAGAACTATTTTATTTAAATTTATTTATTTATTTATTTATTTATTTTAATTTGATGAAAGAGGGACAGAGTGAGAGAGAGAGCATGAAAGAGCAAGCTGCCTGGTCTGGGACTCAAACCATGGTCAGCCATGTGGGAGTCCAGTGCCCGTAACCACCATGCCACCTGCCAGCCTCGAGTATTGTAGTTTCTAAAGAATAAGAAATCATTCTTCAATATGATCCATGAAAGATAGAATTGCTGCTCTAGCAACATATAAAAGGTTGTTTTTTTTTTCTTGTTCTCTCTTCCATACAATTAAATTCATATCTCTTTCCTTCATTCTTCCTTACTCTTTTCCCTGACCTTTTTTTCTCTTTTTTCCCCTCCTTTATCAAAGCAGTGATTAGGTATGAATGAATTCCAAGACAACTTGTAGGAACTAGCTATACTACCTACTTAGAGATAGTACCCTATTTATTCACCTAAAACCTGTTACTCAATTTTCTATATAGTTAGAGAAGGTATTTCTTGCTTTGAGGATTTAATTTCATATTCTCTGTAATGGAAAAACTAGGCTAGAGTATTATACTGACCTTTCAGTCTCCTCAAAGAAACTTCTAGTTGGGCACTTCCATTGTGCCATGGTTACATCATGAGCCTCCAGAATACTTGCAGTCTCCATTGTACTAGCCCAAGGGCAGGCAATATGGTCCACTCCTTAGTGCTAAAATATCAACTATAAAATGAGCTTACATACCTGTTTGTTTCTGGATCTGACTGACCTCGGAGGAAAATAGAGTAAAACTAATGATTTTTCATTAAGATGCTTTAAATGAAATTATTCTGTCTGGTAAAATTTATGAAGCTTTATATAATAGAATAGATTATCAACCTCAGACTAGGCCAAAATGACTAGCTTCAACTGCACCCTGCCATTTCTTGGAGTACTAAGGTACTCTGGTGCCTTAAGTTGCCATGGTCCACATGGAAAACTTGTGTCCCAGTCATAAAGAAGCTGAGGAATAGTCCAGCCTCCTGAAGGCCTGAGATGAGCAAGGATGGAAAACAGCCAGAGAGCTGGAGTCAGTGAATAATACTTTCTATGCAGGTCCTGGGCATCTACCACCAAGATATTCTGTATTCTAAGAAAGTAAATTTAATTTTCAAGTGTATACTTCTGAACTCTTGTTATATCCCTTTACAACAGGATCATTTCCTGGCACTGCTACCTCGTGTATGAGACATTATTGGGATGACAATGCACTAGACCTTAAACATTCACTTGGGCTGAAAATTATTTAGAAGCCATTTAATAACAGAGTTCCTTGAACACAGTGACTAGGCACATGCTGAAGAGGTAAATTGAGTTCACTTAATTTTCACCCTCTGATGGAACTTTCCTCTTCCCACAACACTCTCTCACTTTTGGTTGTTCTTTCAGCATTTTGGACTTAGCTAAAAGGTTAGGGAAATGCCCATTAATTAAGTTTATCTTTAAAAGGAAAATGTTTATTTTTTTCACCTAAGACTGTACAGGGTAACTTTCTAAGTAAAAGTGCCTCTGAGTTCTCTGAGTTTTATACCATAAAGTGTTCTGTTAAAGTAAGGAAATCTATGGGCAGCTGGTGGTATAGTGGTTAACACAGCTGGATCTCATGTGGCTAACTGTGTGGTTCAAGTCCCTGACTCAGCAGCTTGAGAAATGCCAGGTGCATATGTGTACATGCCCAAAATGCTGAAAGAATGGTAGAGAAGGGATTTTGGCATGGCCATCACCCTGGCCGGTGGGGGGTGGGGGGGAGTTCTTTCTCACTTCTTCTGTCTCTCTTCAGTAAGAGCATGCATCTGTAGCAAATTAATATTAATAATAATAATAATAAAATCTGGAGAGGGCATCCAATCCTCTAAAGTCATTCTCTTGGTCCAAGCATCATTCTGTACATTTGAGGATCTTTTTCTAGGTCCAATTTTCTGTAAGTTGCAGGTATGAAATGCATACTTGCATAAACCTGGTTGCAGAAAAGCAAAGAGGACCAACTACACAACTGTATCACAGCAAGAGCATTTTCTCAAATGCCTTCTAACAGTTTCATAAGTGAGCATTTTCTATTTACACTGCAATCATTATTCTGTTGGGCTGGAGGAATTTCTGGATAATTCTTCTAAAATAACATTAGCAATTACAGGAGACTGACATTCTCAAAGCTGAAGTTTGTGCTGCCCACAGAGCACTCTCTAACTAAAATGTCACTGTTAGGCCCTAAAATGTTGAGACACAGGACTGCCTAATATGCATGATCCTCTGTTTCTACAACATCCAGAAAATAAAAGGTGAGAAGCAAACCTTAAAATCAGGCTAGGAAAGTTTCCTAATGGCCAGGAGTAAGTCAGTCCTCCTTATGGAACCTCAGTCTTAAAAGTTAAGAGCAATCATGGAGGCCAAGCCCCTCATTTCACAGATGGAGAAACTAGGCTCAAGGAAAGGAAGGTTTTTGCCCAAAGTGCATCTGCGGCAGAGCTGGGACTTACATCTTTATCTCCTGAGTACAGATTCTGTGTTCTTTCCACTATACTTGCTAGAATTGAAACTTGAGCATTGAATAAGCCTGACTTGGAAGCTGCCCAAATCTGAAGGGAGATGGTTTTCCTGTTTAGCATCTTGAAATTGGCCAGATCTAGAAACTGAGTAGATCCAATATTTTGTTGCTAAATGCAGGGGAAACTTTAAATCTTCTGTCTCTGGGTGTTAAGGCTATAGGGACTCCTTTAGAGAGAGACTCTCTGGACCTTCCATTCTTTCCTCCCTGGGAAAGAAGCCCCCGCAATGGCCCTATTGTTTTATTCCAAATTCAGATGTGGTTAGGCATAGACAACTGGAGTCTTGAGTGGTATTGCTGTGAGTATTCGGTTTCTTGGGCATTATCCATAAAGGAGGACCTGATAAATTAGTATAGGATCTTCCTGCCTAAGACTCTGGGGAGCAGGGAGATGGAGTCAATAAGGTTTTTCTTTTGTTTTGTTTTTGCTTTTTCATTTAATTAGTGTACATCTTAACAGTGTACAACATAGCTTTTCTCAGCACAAATATATTATATATCAGTCAAGACAAGGATATTACCATATATGTTATCATCCACAACTTTTCATTTTGGTGTCAATTTAACGTACTTTTTTTCCCCTGTTCCCCTCCCTCCCTTTCCCTATTACCCACCCCAATATTACCCCTATCCTTACTATCTCTAGTATCTATAGTTGCTCTCCCTGCCTACTATACCCCCTGCTATAGAGTGCAGACATTTGGTATATATTAATGGGGGGGAGACATACGAAGTCTGTCTTTTTCATAGTCTGGCTTGTTTCGCTTAGCAGTAAGTCTTCCATATTTGTCCATTTTGTATCAAATGTCAGGGTCTCATTGTTTTTTATGACTGGGTAGTGTGGAGTCAGTAAGGTTTTTAAGTGAGATTAGAGGATGTTTTATTTAAAAGATTTTAAAAGATGAAAACATTGTGATAAAGTCTGATAAAAGATTTCCTGGGACTTCTACAAGTTATGAGAAAGTGGTGAAGGGAAGAAGATGACACCTACCTATAATGACCTGCAGTCCTCTAGTGGGGTTGTGCAGATCACAAGAAGTCAATAGGAGGAGCTAGGGACTTTGGTTCAAGACCCTGTTTATGACTCACTTAACATAATCCCATTCCCATCCCACATCCTGGTGGGAATGTTGGAAGAACTAAGGTATAAAATGGGGCCAATATTGTTCTGGAAGGATAGTGAGAAGGAAAGGGGGAGGAGTTAGTGGGCATGATTAATAATACATTTGAGAATAGGACCTCCGAGGAAAGACTGGGAAACTGGATTATTTAGCCCATAAAAATGGAGGTCAATAGGTGACTTAATGTCTTTGAGTATATGGGAGTTATTATTATATATGATATAACTATTCTTCTTTACCTATACAACAAACAGAGTAAGAGCCTCCACAGCCACAAGGAGGGATTTCAGTTAAATATATGGAAGAACTTCCTAATAGTGAGAACTGAGAAGTGATAAACATTGGAACATGTTGCCAAGAAAGTTTGCAGAATTTCCTTTCCCAGAGTCTTTAAAAATACAGTTTAGAGAGGTCAGCTGAGAAAACAAAATATGCTGCCTCTTCTTCAGCTTTCTTTACCCTCTGCCTCCCTTTCTTTCCTATTTCTCAAGTACTCACTCTCTTTCCACCCCCAATCCTCTTTCTCCCTCTCCCTCCTTCTTCCCCTCCTTTCTAATCATCTCTAAAACTGCTTTCCATTTCCCATTCAAACTAGTACCACCTCCATCCCAGCCCCCATTTCCTACATATCCTGACTCTGATGAGAACCTTACTAAGCTGATATTGTTCCTAAGGTCAGACTGTTGAGCTATCTCCTGTTATCCTTAGCAAGTCCCCCAAACTGGGCAGTAAATATGAAAGCCCCGTATTTGTCAAAAATAGCCTAGTTCTGAAAACACACACACACACAGAATGTCTCATAGATCTGATCACTTGGTGGTTCTTATCCTTTGGACTCAGCTGAAATGTAACCTTTTTGAAGCCTTCCCTGACCTCTTCAGCATTGAAGCCACTACCACTAATGTAGCACTTCCACTATCTTGTGACTATGTCTGCCCCAAAAGACTTAAGAATTATTTATTTATTTACCTTTATTTGTTATTATTATTTTTTATTTTGACAAGAGAGAGACAGAGAGAAAGAAAGGGAAAGTGAAAACCACCAGGTCCCAGACTTGAACCGTGGTCCGCCATGTGGGAGTCCAACATCTCAATCACCACCCCACCTGCTGGCCCCTCATCATTATTTTTTTAATTGAACAGAGAGAGACGGGGGGGGGGGTTGAGAAAGCAAGCCACCAGGTCTGCAACTTGAACCCTGGTCAGCCTTGTGGGAGTCCAATGCCTTAACCACCATGCCACCTGCTGGCTCTATAAACTTGGCTCCTTGAGACCTATTTATTTCTATGTCCTCAAACCTAGCTCTGCAAATGCTTATTCACAAAATGGGGTTCGAGGGAAGAAACAGACAGACTTGTGATAATGGTTTTAAGATCTTTAGCCAGAACCCCCAGAGGGTTGAGTTTATGTCATCAGAAATCTCTAGTATTCATGACAGCATACTCCTGACAATAACTAACTACAAATGTAATACCAAATCCTGTTTTTTTTAGGAAAGAAAGCAGGGCCTCCTGGGCCCAATGGCCCCCCAGGACCTCCAGGACCGCCAGGACCCCAGGGACCCCCAGGGATTCCAGGAATTCCAGGGATTCCAGGAACAACTGTTATGGGACCACCCGGTCCTCCTGGTCCTCCAGGTCCTCAAGGACCTCCTGGCCTCCAGGGACCTTCTGGTGAGTTCCTATGTCTCTCCACCCACCTAGGTACCTTACAAGTACTGTAAGAGAGCAAGAGTAGGTAATCCTATGAGGAGTTTCAAACAGCAGTGATGGGGTTTGGGTGCAGTAAGGAATGCTAGTCTCCAAGCCTAGTACAGAGCTAGGAACTGGACAAGCTAGTAAGGCCTGGCCTGCACCAGCTTCTTGTTTGTACCAAGCTGTTAAGAACAGGTCACCTGTCCTTACACTTTCTCCACCCTTCCATCACAAGCCCTTCCTAATCCTCGGCCTCCCTGTGGAGAGCCAGTAAACTCATATAATCTAAAGATAGAGGCCTTAGGTGGGATGGATTTGGTCTGCTTTAGATTACCATACGATGATGCTTGCATGAAAATAGGCTATGGTGAGGAATGTTGGGGAATGAACAAAACAACAAGCCCTGGGATAGTTTCATCCCATGAACTCTGAAGTGCCTCTCTCATAGAGGCAGATAGTTAGTCATTGATGGTCAAGAAATTAGAAACTTATGAGTCACTTAGGCTGTAGATAACTCAGGCACCAAGGCTATGCTCTCCAGGAACCAAGTACATCTTGCACTATATCCTTACCCCACCACACTGCCCATTCAAATACAATTTCATCCCCCTGCATCTTTCTCTTTGGGCTCAAGAATGGCATTTGGAAAGCTTAGATGCATACCAAAACCTGCCTAATAGCAGTTGACAGGAGTTAGACTGCTGAGCTTATGTCAGTTGTGATTTCTTTCTCTTGCTCCCCTCCTATAACCTAGGACTTCAGAGAAGTGGACTCTTCACAGCTTATTTCTCTAGGTCTAAGAATTCTGCAACAAGACTCAGATTCTTTAGCTTAAAATTCAAACAGAGCTAAGGAGTATTACCATGGCCACAAGAGAGAGAGTTGGGATTTTTTTCGCCCAGTCATTTCACAAACATTGAGTACTTTCTGTGTGAAAAGAGATAGATTGATAAGTAGTCCCCATTTTCACAGAATTTATATCCTAGGGGAGGAAATAGACAATTAAAAGAAACAAGACATTTACAAATGGCAGTGGGCTCTATGAAGAAAATTCATAAAAGGGGAGCAAAAGGCTGGCAAAGCAAGTACCATTGTCCCTGGTCACACACAGTGACATCACTCTCCATGGGTGTTCAGTGGAGCCTGCCTGGGTCAGTATTAGAAAGAGGCCAGTTTCCCTGCTGGGTGCTAGGATCATTGCAGATGAAGATCAAGGATAGAAAAGAGAAAGAAGAGGAATCCTCTCTCCTCCAAAGGTCCCACATTGCACTCCAACTCTTTCCAGCTCTAAGCCTGGAGACTAAAGCTCAGCCAGGGTTGGCTGCAGGGAGTGAGGCTGACTGTCACTGGCTATTGAAGGAAGGAAAAAAGGAAGTAGAAAGAGGAAAGCCCTCTGATTGTTTTGTCCTATTTTGCAGGTGCTGCTGATAAAGCTGGAACTCGAGAAAACCAGGTTGGCTGGGACTGCTTTCTTCCTGGGGAGAAGGGAAGGCCACAAGCTAGTGCCACCTTTAAATTGACTCCCTATTAAATTTCCTGAGGCTTTATCTTGTGAGGACACCCTAGAGGTTTTGAGGTCTTTCACTCACAGCTCCCTCCTATTTCTGTGAATAGAAAAGCTTTGCCCCAGGGCCTGCTTTTAGCTAAGGGTCATGCCAGGACCATTTTTACTCATTCCACAGTAGACAGAGGGTAACCACACCAGGGCTCAGTAGTCAGCGGAAATGAGCTGCCAGTCAGGCCTCTTCACCTGGGCCTCCCAACTCCCCAGTTAACTCCAGACACCTTGTCGGCACTCAGATCACCTGGGATCCAGAGCTAAGACATTTAAGAACATGTCCTTGAAAAACAGCCAACCAGCTCCAGGCCAAGCCCAACCTGGGGCTTCTGCATTAATGGCCTAAGGGCTCCTTCTTAGTCTTTGACCTTCATAATTTGCCTCTATTGGCAAGTTCTGTGGCCTTGCCTTGTCTCATTTCAGCCTCCCTCACTACAGCTGTTTGATCACAGTAAAAAAATAAATAAAAATCACAGCTGCACAGTGCTTGATGGCTTGCTTGCAGGGCAATTTTATATCCATCACCTCATTTGATCTTCAGACATCCCTATAAGAGAGGCCAGATCAGAAAGTCTTATAATCTCCATTTTACAGTTAGGGAAATGAGGCTCACAGGTATTACATTTGGCTGAGGTTACACAGCTAGGAAGTACCAGAGCTACAAAATCCTATTACCCTCTACTAGAAATATAGTCCCTAACATCCCAAGAAAAGGAGAGGGGTCAGAATTGGGATACAAAAGGAGACTAGAAACCAGGGGTAGAAACAGGAGCCCGTGGCTGAGTAAGCAGTCATTACTCACAATGACTACTCTCTGTTCTTATCTTCCCAGCCAGCTGTGGTGCATCTACAAGGTCAAGGGTCAGCGATTCAAGTCAAGAATGGTAAGAATCAAAGTAAGCTCTCTCCTAAGAGCGACTTCTCCCCTCCTTCATCCTCAGCCTACGTCAAATAATCACCCAGCCTAGTTCTTCCCAGGCCCCAGAGGTACCCTTGTCAGAAGGGGATATTGTTCACTTCTTCATGCCCTCTGCTGGCTATCCTGAGTAATTGCTTCCACAAAGACCAATTGCTACATCCAAATGGCATTTAGAATCACTGATGAGGAAGTTGACAGGGATTTAAGAGATTATCTAGCACAGGGATACTTGGGGGATGAAGGTTATATTGGAATTGCCAGGGAAATGTGTGTAGTTTAATAAACATTTTCACAACACAAGTTAGAGAAGGTAAAAGTGCATAAAATTCAATTCTTCTTGTCTGATGAATGTATACAGAAGATGAGTTGAGGGAGTATTTCTCTCAGAAAAGGGACCATGTTAGAATCCCTAAGGAGTATGAGCTGTTAGTATCTATTGAAAGGGAAAACGTGTTTAATGAAGCCAAGAAACACTGATCTAAGGTAATCTCTGCATTTAAAAGATGGGGAAACAGGGACCAGCAGTTAGCATAATGGCTATGTCGCTGAACTCCCATGTAGTGGACCGCGTTTTGCATCCCGGACCCAGTGGCTTAAAACTCACACCGGGCACTTGTGCGTGCATGCCCAAGATCCTGAGAGGAGAATGGAGGAGAAGGGATTGCGGCATGGCCATCCTCCCTGGGGGATGATTTCTCGCTTTCTGTCTCTCTGTCTCTCTCTGGCTGGCTGGCAAGCGCACGCACCCTATAGCAAAACCCTCTCCGAAAAAAAAAAAAAAAGATGGGGAAGCAGAATCCCAGAGAGATTGTATAATACCATAATATATCGTATTGCCTTATATTTGTATAGCACTTTAGATTTTTCAATATGCTTTGTCTTTTATTTCATTTGATCCTTATAATCACCCCATGAGGTAGGTATTAGCTCTTTTTTACAGAAACTGAAGCTCAGTTAACTGGCCCAAGCTTTTCATAGTTACATGTAGAAACTGGAATTCAAAGCTACATCTGTCTACCTATTTTTCCTGCACTATACTACTCCAGTGATGTCTGTGTACACTCCACTGAATGATTAGGTATATTTTCTTCCCCAAAGAGGCACAAATATTCATTAAAGGACAGTGCTTTGAAATAATGTCCAGTCCCCAGAGTGCATAAAATCTAAACTACATGAATCCCCCAGGATTCATTCCCCCAGCCTTGGGAGGCAGCAAGCTAGCCAAGATGCCAGATGCTTCCAGAGCTTGGAGTGCACAAACAGTAAATGAAGGTTAAGAAACCTGCTGCATGGGGACACCTTCTAAGCACCTAGTCAGTCCTGAACTGGAAGTACTTAGTTTCCTTAATGATTAGACTTAGCTACTCCCCTGATTGCCACCTAGATGCCTGACTTAATAGCCTCAGAAGTGTAAATAGGAACATAATGGCACCAAAACCCAAACAGTTTTGCTGGGGACCAGGTGCCATAGGCCTCGGGGCCCTGGTTGGGCCATGATCACCATTTATCTAGAGAGTTCTGAGACAGGTAGGAAATAGATTTGTTTGGGTGTCTGAATAGGTGACCTTAGTATTTGTTCTGTGCCAGCAGTACCAAGTTCACCTCACTATCATGTAACAAGACCATTTCTAGCCCCTCTGGGCCAATGCTCAGTAGTAGTCTGTGCTTACCTTTAAAAGTCCCACCAGAAGAAGTGTTAGGGTCAGTGGTAGGAGGACATCATGCAGAGTAATCCATTGAAGGGACAGAGCCAGGGGATCTTCTTTTTTCTTTTTTTAAAGTATTTTCCCCCCTTAGGGCACATGTACTTACCAGAGAGTGAGAGAGAAAGTGAGAGGGAAAGTGAGAAATCACCCCCCAAGGGGGATGGTCATGCCACAATTCTCTTTTCCTTCATTCTCCTCCTGGGATCTTGGGCTCACTAACACACACACCCAGTGTGAGTTCCAAGCCACCAGGTCTGGGACTCAAACCACAGTCGACCATGTGGGAGTCCAGCGAAAAATAACCGCTATGCCATCTGCTGGCTCCCAGGGCATCTCCTTCTAACTCCTATCCCATTCACTTATCACTTTGAGGAAAGAAGCCTACCTTTTCCAGGAGTCCTGTTTCCTCACACCTCAAACAGGCAGACCTGAAACTGGCCAAGGATGGACATTCAAAACATAATTTCTTGGGTAAAGAACAGATGGCTTAGGTGCTAGCAGGTAGCATGGTGGTTAAGGGCACTGGACTCCCACATGGCTGACCATGGTTCGAGTCCCAGACCTGGTGGCTTTCTTTTCTACTTTAGTCCCAGACCTGGTGGCTTGCTTTCTAACTTTCCCTCTCTTTCTCTCACTCTGTCCCTCTTTGGTCAAATTAAAATAAATTAATAAAGTTCAATAAAATAATTCTTCAAAAAAAAAAAAACAGAACACATGGTTTAGAGGGGAAAAGGCCCCAGGAGCTTGGACTTCCTCCTACTGTAGTGGGAAGGCACATCTCTCTTTCTGAAGGATGGAAAGGGAAACTTTTCCTCTACCCTCACATGCTGGCTCCCACTGGCAAGCCAAAGCTGTGTGACTGTCCCTCTACCCAGCTGGGGCAGGTCTAAAGCACAAGGGCATTGCCAAGAGTGCCTAAACTCTAAGACAACTCACCTTTCCTCCTGGGTAATTAAAACACTGGCTAGAAGTTAATCCTATGCTCTTATAAAGATCTTCCCACTGTTGGGCCTTGTTACTGGTGGTCACTAACTCCAGCTGTCATGAAGCCTGGATCACCCCTGATCCCTAAGGTCCTTCAGATAGCTCATTGGTTTCAATGGTTTCCTGGGCCCAGGGAGGCTTTCTAGAAAGGAATTTTTAGAAAGGAGCCATAACAAAAGGAACCTCTTAAGGAGAAAGAGAAAATTCATGCACCTATAAGACAGGAGAGGGAATCCAGAGCTATGGCTGAGAAACTAATATTGAACAAGACTTAGCCTGCCACTCAGTGTTTGAATTTTGCCTGTGTAGGCCTCATGACAACAAAGAAAATAGGGCATCATGCCCACTCTTCTCTTACCGCCCATCTAAATTTCAGCTAGAAGGTGTTGGTTAAAGGTTCTCCTAGATAAGGGGTCAGGAAAGGAGGGATGGAGACAGACAGGAAGCCTAAAGCAGGCCTGGAAGCTATTTTATAAATAAGACACCTGTGCTTCCAAATGTTCTTTATATTTTTTGAGAGAGAGAGATATTTTTTGGTATAGGGCATGTGCACTCACCAGAGAGATGGAGACAGAGACAGAAAGCAAGAAATCACTCCCCAGGAGGGATGGCCATGCCACAATTCCTTCTCTTCCATTCTTCTCTCAGGATCTTGGGCACACACATGTGCCTAGCCTGAGTTTTAACCCACAGGGTCCAGAACTCCAGTCGACTACATGGGAGTCCAGCAACATAACCATTATGCCATCTGTTGGTCCTCCCAAATGCCCTTCTTAAGGCTTGGCCTTCTGAACTTTCCTGGTTGCACTGGGACAGGGGTGGGGACTGTGTATGCTTAGTATTTCTAATTTCTATTGACCATATTATTCTTACATGTACTGAGTGACTGCCTTCTCTCATACTGAGATCTTTCAGGTGGAGTGCTCAATGACTGGTCTCGCATCACTATGAACCCCAAGGTGTTTAAACTACACCCCCGCAGTGGGGAGCTGGAGGTACTGGTGGACGGCACCTACTTCATCTATAGTCAGGTAGAAGTGAGTACGGTCTTAGGCCTAACTCTTCTTATATCCAGAATGCAGACCCAGCACAGGCCACATAGGAGCACTGTTGAGCCAGCCAAGATCATCCAATGACTAATGTCCAGCTTTGGGGGGTGATTGGAGTGGGAGGGCCACAGAGGGAGGGAATTGAAATAAGGAAGCAGAAAAGGAGATCCCTTGGGGTTTGTTTTCTCCTGCTACCCAAATATCATTGAAAAACTCTGAAAAAGGGCCCTTCCACTCCCTGCCAATTCCCTCCTTTAGGGCCACTGAGCTGTTGGGTTTTACCACAAAACTTGGACTTGATCTCACCATATCCTTTGAAAATCAGGTCCAGGGCTGCTGAGAACCCCTTCCCCAACACTGCTAGCTTGGGCTTTATAATGAATGTGCTCCTGTGGACTTTCTTTCCACCTCAAAAAGTTTCTGACTGTCTTTCCTTCCTTTTCCTCCCATTTGTTTCTCTATCTTTCTGTTTCCATATTATTCTTGCCTACTTCTTGCTATCTTTCTCCCAGCCCCTTTTCCCTGTTTTTGTCCTTTTCCTGTCCTGGGCCCATCCCCATAGTCTGCCAGTGCTCATCCACTCTTACCTCCCTGTTTGCCTCCAGTGGGGTGGCTCCTCAGAGCTAGAGGTAGACAAACCTTAAGGTCGTTGCATCTGTGGGGCGAGCAGCAAACAGGTAGATGAATAGGACTATGGTGCCAAGATGGGTCTTATAGGACAGTGGTCAGAGAGAGTGGGTTAATAAGCATTTGTTAGGTTTGCCAAACATCCCAAGGATTATATGGCATACAAATACACTATTCCCACCCCACGTGAAGAGTCCATGGGAGGACCAACATTTCATAAAGTTTAGGGTGGCAGATGAGGGTCCCAACTCCCATCAGGCACATGAGTGTAACCCCAATGTTCTATGGGCCAAACTCTGGTGGTGCTGGGGAGCAAAGCTTTGGGTAGTGTGTGATAGATAAGTGTAGTGAAAGATTAAAAAAATATTTTTCCATGCCTCAGAGAGAATTGGAAGTAGCCCATTCAGTCTAGGAAAATCTCCGTGCTGCCAGGCCATTCAGCATAAGAAAGTGCTTCTCTCTGGCCACAAAGTTAAGTTAGGGCCTGGGTTTTACGCTTCCAAAGTCTTTCTCTCATCTGTGATGGATAGCTCTCCATCTCTCTGGATGTCTCCTCAGTCATTAAAGTAGTAGGTGAAGGGACACTGTGAATCAATGAGAAGTTCAGTGCCTTAATTTTATCTACAAATAGTCTTTGGCATTTGAAATTGTGTCCATGGTACTGATGGAACACCTAGTATGTACAGAGCACTGTGCTTCATGTCAAGGCTGGGGTGTGTGTGTGCAGAGATGAATAAGACATGGTTCTTACTTTCCTAGAGTTTATTACAATGGTGCTATTGTAAGAAAGGTATGTTCGGTCACCTGATATTCTTATTGGCCAACTAGCATGCCTTCAGATAGCACTACCTCTTCTAGAAGGTTTTACTGATAGCTCATCTAGAAGGTTCTGTCTGTTCACCACAGGGGAGGGCCCGTACCCTCTCTTTCCTCTCTTCCCCAATCCCTTCTTGTTGCCTCTCACTCAGGTATACTACATCAACTTCACTGACTTTGCCAGCTATGAGGTCGTGGTGGATGAGAAGCCCTTCCTGCAGTGTACTCGCAGCATCGAGACAGGCAAGACCAACTACAACACTTGCTATACTGCAGGTGTTTGCCTCCTCAAGGCCCGGCAGAAGATTGCCGTGAAGATGGTGCACGCTGACATCTCTATCAACATGAGCAAGCACACCACCTTCTTTGGGGCCATCAGGCTGGGCGAAGCTCCTGCATCCTAGATTCCCCCCATTTGGTTCATGCCCATGACCCTGCCCCAGATTTGGGAGCCGGGACTCCCAGAACCTCTAAGTGCTGCTGTGGAGTGAGGTATATTGGTTGCAGCTACAGAGAGAACTGCCCCAGTGCTATTTATTCCCCAGTGACTCCAGGATGACGAGGCCTGCTTGACTTTCCAAAATGACCTTGAATTAACAGGACAGTTGATGGAGTTCCAGGGTTTACATGAATCAGAACATTCTTTAGCTCTCTGTTGACTGGCTTATAGCATGACTCTTCAACCCTGAGGTCCCTGTTGTCAGATTGATCATTTGTTGCACTAAAATGAGGATTCAGGGCTTGTATGCCTCAGGCTCTGGGGGTGAATATCTGACCCCAAAGGGACTGCTGCTCCCCCTTTGGGTGAGAGTGAGGTAGTTGGGGGAAGGAAGCATCACGGCCTAAGGAGAGGGCCAGTGAGGGAAAGGCAGGTTCTTGTGGTAATGACAGGAGGAGAAACCTGCCAAGTGGGCACCTTAGCAGTGGAAGCCTTCTTGCTGCTTGGCACTATGGCCTTCAGAGGGTCAGAGTACACTTCTCATTCAGGCTGAGAGCCACTCTGTGACTTGTTGGGCTTTAGTGATGGGAAGTTTACTCTACCTTGGAATGATCACAGGGAATGGCCACAATCATGCTTGCATGAGATCCTGAATCTGTACTTGGGGCCACATTTCTCTCACTTTGTTTACAGCTGTGCCCTAGGGTCTCCCTCTCAATTGCCCTCTTTTCCCAGCCTGATGATAACTTTATCTTCTTTCTCCACAGAGCCTACCTCTGTCTGAGACAGGTGCCTAACTTGGGATCTATGCTCATGTAGGTCTGAAATATTCTTTAGATTACCTGGGCACAAAGACTTTTCCATATATTAAGCAATACAAATATTACTCATCTAATCTTAATTGAATTGTGTCTAGGGTCAAAGAGTTGGAACAGATGACCTCTTAAAGTCCCTTCTAGTTCTAATATTTGCAACTCTAACAGGCAACCACTATGATAGCCTTCTAAATTCCCAATCCTTAGACTATCCCTGGGCATTAGCAAGGCAGAGCTTTTCTACCTGGCCTGGGAGGGGCAAGAGGTGGGGACAAAACATAGGGATTTTGTTCAAGTGGTCTTTAGGCCAGGCCTTATCTAAAAGGACAGCAGTTTATGCCTTACTGACACAGTCTTTATTCACTTTGATTTCAGAAACCATAGCCAATCTTAGTCACCACAGATGCCCATGCTGCTTCCCTGAAGCCAAGCTCAGGAGAAGTCAATATCTAAGGTATTGAGTGGAGGTCTGCCCATAGTTTAGGTCCAAAAGAATCATCCCTACAACCCCAGGCTTCCCACTGGATCATATGATAGGTCCACTCAAGAGTCTTATTTCTAACTGCCTGGGCCCAGCCGGGTTTCTAGGTAGGAGAGCTAGCTTTATAAAGTTAACTCCTCTAGTTTTTGAAACCTATTTTCTTCTGAAGAGATACAGAATAAGTTCCTTCATGCAGCTGAAATCTACCAAGAACAAGTTCTTATATCTCAGCTGTGTCTTTCCTTTCTAAGAAGCCACACTTATTGGCCCTTCAAGGATCAGGGCAAGACGTAGTGGGCTAGCCTTCCATTTTCTAGTTGCTGATGACAGCCTTGCAACCCAAAGTGAGGCAAACTTTAGGCATGTGTCTGACCCCAATTACCATAAAGTGCCTTGGATATCTGTGTTATAGCAGAAATCAATGAGAACCTCTCCTTAAAGTTTCTAAAGTGCTGTCTCTTTTATCCTGTGAAGAAGGTAGAACAGATAACAAATGCCATTGTTTAGCTGAGGCTCATAGAGCCTAAGTTCTTTGACCAAGAGCTCACCAAATTTAAGTCACAGACAGACTTCAGCCAGGTCTAACTCCAAAGCTTTTCCACTACCCCCACAGCATTGTGTGGAATTTGAGGTATAGAGAGAACTATAGAAGTGCTAATATGTAACCAAAATTTTTGAGGGTCTTAGAGAAAAACCCAGAGACATCTATTTGCATTCTTTTATGGTAATGCCTGTCCTCTTGGCTGCCAGTATTCTGCAACAAAAAAGTTGGCCTTTTCTGTGGGAAACAGCAATCGCCCAAAGAGTTCTTGTGTTCCAAAGAATCTCCCTGCCACCTTGTCCAAGCAGCAGGCCTTCAGGACCCAGAAAACTGGTAGCCCTCAAGTTATGTCACCCACCCAATGAACCAAACAATCATCATGTGTGAAGTCTCTACTGTGGACAAGGTCCTCCTTCTTTCACCCCACAGAAAATTTAGGAGCCAACCTGCTTCTCAGAGCTACTGCTGCCTTTTTTTTTTTTTTTTAAGTTTTTGCCATAAGGCACATAATGTTCACCAGAGAGAAACAGAGAGACAGTGAGAAATCACCCCTCTGGGGGGATTGTCACACTGCAATCCATTCTCCTCCTTGGATTTTGGGCATGTAAACACAGGCACCCAGCATGATGTTCAAGTTGCAGACCCCAGGACTCAAACCACAGTCAGCACCATAACCACTATGCAACTTACTGTTCCCCTCCCCCCACCCCAGCTTCTAAGTATGACTCCTGATTTCTTTCTTTCTACCATATTACAGAGATCTAGGTACTCGGGGTTTCAGAGAGTGAGGGTGTCTCTCAGGTAGGGAGGGAAGATCCAAGAGAAAACTGGTTCTAAAGCAAAAGGATATGGAGAGAAGGAAAAGGCTTTCTAATTGTGTCACCAAAGGACAGTCTGCCACCTATCCTATTTTTCAGGCATGAAGGGGAGTGTAGGGGTGATAGGATCCCCATTGGACCCTATATTCATTCTAAACCCTCAAAAGGAACTTAGCGGCCAGCAGATGGCACAGAAGTTAAGGAGCTAAACTCCTACATGGCCAACCATGGTTCAAGTCCCAGACCTGGAGGCTCAAAGATCACTTTTGGTGCCTGTGTTTGCATGCCCAAAATCCCAGGAGGAGAATAGAGAAGGGACTGTCATACCCCCAGAGGGTGATTTCTCACTTTTTCTCTCACTATCTTGCTTTCTCTCTTCAGCAAAAGCACATGCCTTATGGGGAAAAAAAATTTTAAGGCAGAGGCAAGGAACTCGAGAGAGAAGGGAGCATGAAGGATGCAATAGGTAGCTGGAAACCTTGTTACATGAACTCATTGGCAAAGTGGTGAACTAATTTACTTTTAAGAGAATGTGAAAATAGATTCACAGTATGGAATTAGGCTGATGTAAGTTTACCAGAGGGCCAAGGTTATCATAGAAAATGGGATGAGAATATTCATAAGCAAGCAGATGACAGGTTTGAAGACAAATTGCATGACATGGGCTTCTGCCAGCTGCTTGGGCTTCAATAGCCAAGCTGGCACAAAAGGTAGCTGTTGGAGGTGGCAAAGCTTCTGGTTACCTAGAAAATGTAACACTTGCCTTATTTCCTCCTTCATCCATCCTGAACCAAATGTCTTTGGCTAAGCAGGAAAGTGCTAGAACACTGCAGGTAAACAAAGACTTTGATGCATGTGTGAGTGCATGTATTTTATGTAATTTATGGTTGATGCAAATAGATTCTGAGAAGTGTAGATAAAAAGGCCCATAGAGGCAATCAAGCCCAAACTACATAATACCCCATGTTACTCATGCCCAGAGAGAGAGAAATTGACCTGCCCTAAGTGGTAAGCAAGCACCACTTAGCACAAGAGCTCAGAGCAGTCCCTGTCCCACAAGAACCCTGTCTTTTTTCCACCCACAGGCTCAAGGCTAGAAGTGCTTGGCTCTTTTCAGGAGCCTAGAGTGGCAG